AAAAATCATTAAAGTAGCAATATCAGTGGGTTTTGTGATGAATGAGCCATCTGATTTAATGAATGGAGCTGAGTTCGCCTTTTTGCCCAAGATTTAATTTAAGGTGCTCCAAAGCTTTTTACTATCATTCTTTATATCATTTATCTTTGTTTCATAGTAAAGTTTCTTCTTCTTTTTGTTAAGTTTAGTCACATGATTTCTCAATTTACATTACGTTTCCCAATCGGTTGTGCAGCCAGACTTATTAGCCATTTATTTGGCCTCATCACTCTCAACCATACAATTGTTAAATTCTTCATCAAGCCACAGGGGTTTAACTGTTTTTACAGTAATTTTCTTAATGGGTGCATGCTTGTTATACTGAACAAAAATATCAATGCAATATGCAACAATTTCTAAGATTTTACTGAGTTACAGTTCATATAAGGAAATCAGTCAATTTAAATACATTCATAAGGCCCTAATCTATGGATTTCACATGATTGGGAATACAGATATGCATTTGTTGGTCACAGATACCTTAAAAAAAAGGTAGGGTCGTGGATCAGAAAATCACTCAGTATCTGGTGTGACCACCACATGCCTCATGCAGCGCGACACATCTCCTTCGCAAAGAGTTGATCAGGCTGTTGATTGTGGCCTTTGAATGTTGTACAACTCCTCTTCGATGGCTGTGCAAAGTTGCTGGATATTGCCGGGAACTGGAACACTGTCGTACACGTTGATCCAGAGCATCCCAAACATGCTCAATGGGTGACATGTCTGGTGAGTATGCAGGCCATGGAAGAACTGGGACATATTCAGCTTCCAGGAATTGTGTACAGATCCTTGCGACATGGGGCCGTGCCTTGTCATGCTGAAACATGAGGTGATGGCGGCGCATGAATGGCACGACAATGGGCCTCAGGACCTCGTCACGGTATCTCTGTGCATTCAAATTGCCATCGATAAAATGCAGTTGTGTTCATTGTCCGTAGTTTATGCCTTCCCATACCTTAACTCCACCGCCCCCAATGGGGCACTCTGTTCACAATGTTGACATTAGCAAACCGGTCACCCACACAACGCCATAGACGTGGTCTGCGGTTGTGTGGCCGGTTGGACATACTGCCAAATTCTCTAAAATGACGTTGGAGGCGGCTTATCGTAGAGAAATTAACATTAAATGATCTGGCAACAGCTCTGGTGGACATTCCTGTATTCAGCATGCCAATTGCACACTCCTTCAAAACTTGAGACATTTGTGGCCTTGTATTGTGTGACAAAACTGCACATTTTAGAGTGGCTTTTTATTGTCAAATCAAATCAAATCCATTTTTATTTGTCACATGCACCGAATACAACAGGTGTAGACCTTTGTCACGAGAATTTTGTTATCTCAATGGTTGAAGTCAAACACTTCTTAAATTCCTCCCATCCCTAAATTGGGAGGCCTATTTCCTTATCTTGGTTTCACAGTTGTCACAAGTTGTCTAGCCTAACAGTTCTCCTTCTCCTTTGTTGTCTGGCCTAACTCCTACTCACATTGCTAAATAGTAACACAATGTCATAATCTTTACTTGTCCTACGCACACACATTATTAGATTATAGTCTCATGATTCAAACACATTTCTCAAAGTGGAGTGTAATAATTAGTCATTACTAAATTCTTCTATCAACCTTAGAGTGAAATGCTTACATACAAGCCCTTAACCAACAATGCAGTTTAAAGAAAAATAAGTGTTAAGTAAAAAATAGATAAGTAAGAAATAAAAATGCAACCAGTCAGGATGCTCTCGATGGTGCAGCTGTAGAACTTTTTGAGGATCTGAGGACCCATGCCAAATCTTTTCAGTCTCCTGAGGGGGAATAGGCTTTGTCGTGCCCTCTTCACGACTGTCTTGGTGTGTTTGTACCATGATAGTTTGTTGGTGATGTGAACACCAAGGAACTTGAAGCTCTCAACCTGCTCCACACAGCCCTGTCGATGAGAATGGGGGTGTTCTCGGTCCTCTTCTTTTTCCTGTAGTCCACAATCATCTCCTTTGTCTTGATCACGTGAAGGGAGAGGTTGTTATCCTGGCACCACACGGCCAGGTCTCTGACCTCCTCCCTCAACGGTGATCAGGCCTACCACTGTTGTGTCATCGGCAAACTTAATGATGGTGTTGGAGTCGTGCCTGGCCATGCAGTCATGGGTGAACAGGGAGTACAGGAGGGGACTGAGCACGCACCCCTGAGGGGCCCCCGTGTTGAGTATCAGCGTGGCAGATGTGTTGTTACCTACCCTTACCATCTGGGGGCGGCCCGTCAGAAGTGCAGGATCCAGTTGCAGAGGGAGGTGTTTAGTCCCAGGGTCCTTAGCTTAGTGATGATCTTTGAGGGCACTATGGTGTTGAACGCAGAGCTGTAGTCAATGAATAGCATGCTCACGTAGGTGTTCCTTTTGTCCAGGTGGGAAAGGGCAGTGTGGAGTGCAATAGAGATTGCATCATCGGTGGATCTGTTGGGGTGGTATGCAAATTGGAGTGGGTCTAGGGTTTCTGAGATAATGGTGTTGATGTGAGCCATGACGAGCCTTTCAAAGTACTTCATGGCTAGAGACGTGAGTGCTACGGGTCAGTAGTCATTTAGGCAGGTTACCTTAGTGTTCTTGGGCACAGGGACTATCATGGTCTGCTTGAAACATGTTGGTATTACAGACTCAGTCAGGGACAGGTTGAAAATGTCAGTGAAGACACTTGCCAGTTGGTCAGCGCATGCTCGGAGTACACGTTCTGGTAATCCGTCTGGCCCTGCGCCTTGTGAATGTTGACCTGTTTAAAGGTCTTACTCACGTCGGCTACAGAGAGCGTGATCACAGAGTTGGCCAGAACAGCTGATGCTCTCATGCATGCTTCAGTGTTGCTTGCTTCGAAGCGAGCATAGAAGTAATTTAGCTAATCTGGTAGGCTTGTGTCACTGGGCAGATCGCGGCTGTGCTTCCCTTCGTAGTCTGTAATAATTTGCAAGCCCTGCCACATCCGACGAGTGTCGGAGCCGGTGTAGTACGATTCAATCTTAGTCCTGTATTGACGCTTTGCCTGTTTGATGGTTCGTCTGAGGGCATAGCGGCATTTCTTATAAGCGTCCGGGTTAGAGTCCCACTCCTTGAAAGCGGCAGCTCTACCCTTTAGTTTAGTGCGGATGTTGCCTGTAATCTATGGCTTCTGGTTGGGGAATGTACGTACGGTCACTGTGGGGACGACGTCATCGATGCACTTATTGATGAAGCCAGTGACTGATGTGGTGTACTCCTCAATGCCATCGGAAGAATCCCGGAACATATTCCAGTCTGTGCTAGCAAAACAGTCCTGTAGCTTAGCATCTGCGTCATCTGACCATGTGCAAGGTGCACCTCTGTAATGATCATGCTGTTTAATAAGCTTATTGATATGTCACACCTGTCAGGTGGATGGATTACCTTGGCAAAGAAGAAATGCTCACTAACTGGGATGTAAACAAGTTTGTGCACAAAATTTGAGAGAAATTAGCATTTTGTGCATCTGGGTTATTTTATTTCAGCTCATGAAACATTTTACATGTTGCGTTTATATTTTTGTTCAGTGTAGTAACTGGAATAAGCAATTTCATAAATGTGTCAAGTGCAGCGTCTGGTTGCTCCTCATTACACACCACAGACCATCAAATATGCTTTATATCTTCAATATAGGAATCACTACAAAACGTATTGTATAACCTCTTATACACTATATTAGGCCCAGCCTTTGGAACTTTGGTTTTCCTAGATACAGTGAGGGAAAAAAAGTATTTGATCCCCTGCTGCAGTCTATAATTTTAATGGTAGGTTTATTTGAACAGTGAGAGACAGAATAACAACAAAAAAATCCAGAAAAACGCATGTCAAAAATGTAATAAATTGATTTGCATTTTAATGAGGGAAATAAGTATTTGACCCCCTCTCAATCAGAAAGATTTCTGGCTCCCAGGTGTCTTTTATACAGGTAACGAGCTGAGATTAGGAGCACACTCTTAAAGGGAGTGCTCCTAATCTCAGTTTGTTACCTGTATAAAAGACACCTGTCCACAGAAGCAATCAATCAATCAGATTCCAAACTCTCCACCATGGCCAAGACCAAAGAGCTCTCCAAGGATGTCAGGGACAAGATTGTAGACCTACACAAGGCTGGAATGGGCTACAAGACCATTGCCAAGCAGCTTGGTGAGAAGGTGACAACAGTTGGTGCGATTATTCGCAAATGGAAGAAACACAAAAGAACTGTCAATCTCCCTCGGCCTGGGGCTCCATGCAAGATCTCACCTCATGGAGTTGCAATGATCATGAGAACAGTGAGGAATCAGCCCAGAACTACACGGGAGGATCTTGTTAATGATCTCAAGGCAGCTGGGACCATAGTCACCAAGAAAACAATTGGTAACACACTACGCCGTGAAGGACTGAAATCCTGCAGCGCCCGCAAGGTCCCCCTGCTCAAGAAAGCACATATACAGGCCTGTCTGAAGTTTGCCAATGAACATCTGAATGATTCAGAGGAGAACTGGGTGAAAGTGTTGTGGTCAGATGAGACCAAAATCGAGCTCTTTGGCTAAACTCGCCGTGTTTGGAGGAGGAGGAATGCTGCCTATGACCCCAAGAACACCATCCCCACCGTCAAACATGGAGGTGGAAACATTATGCTTTGGGGGTGTTTTTCTGCTAAGGGGACAGGACAACTTCACCGCATCAAAGGGATGATGGACAGGGCCATGTAATGTCAAATCTTGGGTGAGAACCTCCTTCCCTCAGCCAGGGCATTGAAAATGGGTCGTGGATGGGTATTACAGCATGACAATGACCCAAAACAATGAAATAGAATAACGTCTAAATAGAAGTGAGAAATGTAAACATTTGAATTGATACAATTCAGCAGTGGGCTATAGTAGATTGTATCAACGCATTGGATGCTTTGTTGCACCACAACCAATTAGAATCCAGAATCTGTTATCGTCATCTGGTGACGTAAAAAGGAAGCGACCGAAAACTGGAAAGAACACCGTGGGAGCAAAGTAGATACCTCGTAGATACATTTGAATCTAATACTTCAATTAATACAAGATGAGCGTGTCGATGCCTCAGAAGCGATATTACAGGCAGCGAGCCCACTCGAATCCCATGGCAGACCACACGTTTGAATAGTGAGTCACTCGTCAGTCCTTTTGGTAAAAGGTTTAGCAAGCTAACTCGTTAGCTAACGCATGTTGCCCGCAAAATTGGCCAAGCTTCTAGTCGATGTACTACTGTATGTTTGAATTCATTTCACGTCACAGCTTTATTGAGCAAGAAATTGCCAAAAGCAAAACGTTTCTCTAAACTAGATTGCTGTTACGCTTCCGTGTGGAGTTCTCTCTCCTCACTCGTCGCTTGTTTAGATGCCTGACGACACAACAGTCGTTTTACAAGTCAGAATGTTGAATAAACTCATTTGAACTTTTTCAAAATATCCACAGGAAAGTAAGTATCATTAAAACGACTTTCCAAAACGCGTGTCTGCGTGGCTTTCGGTTTGTTCATCACTTAACGCAAGCTCATAAATTACTAAGCGAAAAGTCTGTTTAATAAAACTATCCTGTGGATATTTTTTATAAAATTTCCAACGGCACAAGGGACAACCAGCAGATGAAGTTCAAATTACAGTTTACAACATTCTGGCTACACAAAATGGTATATATAAATCATTGCACAAGACAACATTACGAAAATGTCAGTGGAATATAAGCCTTTCCTAATCAGCAAGCTAGCTTGCTTTTATGTCAGGAAGCCGGTATTAAAGGCTACTTATACATGAGCTATTGACCAAGTGCACTGTAGTTATTTAGTAATTAATACATTTTGTAAACGTAGAGAAAGTACTGCATTGGATTAGAAGTCAGTTTCACCTTGTGCTGGTCAGCATTTGCTCAGGTCTGTTGATTTCATACTTATACCTATTTCACCATGACCTCTTCTCAGCCCTGTCTGTCCAGAGGACATGGACTGGTCCCAGCTGTACCCTGAGTTCTTCAGCGACCACCAGTCGACCAAAAAGGCTGCACAAGTGGAGTTTGCAGACATCGGCTGTGGATATGGGGGACTTCTCGGTATGGCATGGTCTTCTAATCCATGATAATTCCTCACCCTTATTACCCAACACCAGTCTTTATCATTCTCATGCTTACTAACAAAAATACTCAACCATCAAGTGTTGTTGACAGAGGACTGTCAGTCCTAAATTGAACTGATGTGAGTGAGACTGTCCTTTGTAGGTGTCATTTTTGGTTGTTCCATCTGAGGGTGCTGTTGACTTGCAACATGGTCAGGAGATTTGGCTTGGTAGGTTCTTTCATTGTACACTCAGTGGCCAGTTAACGAAAATGAGTCACTTGGCCATGGCTTGATATATAAAGCAGGCAGACCGGCATTGAGGCATTCAGTTACTGTTCGCTTGAACATTAGAATGGGCAACACGAGTGACCTAAGCGACTTTGAGGGTGGTATGATAATCGATGCCAGGCCCGCCGGTTCCAGTATCTCAGAAACGGCTGGCCTCCTGGGCTTTTCACGCACGACAGTGTCTAGGGTTTACCAAGAATGGTGTGACGAACAAATAAAATCCAGTCAGCGGCAGTCCTGTGGGTGAAAACAGTTTGTTGATGAGAGGTCGAAGGAGAATGACAAGAATCGTGCACACAAACAGGCGGGCCACAAACAAGCAAATAACGGTGTAGTACAACTGTGTGTGTAGAATGGCATCTCAGAACGCACAACTCCTTAGTCCTTGTCACGGATGGACTATTGCAGCAGACGACTACACCGGAATCCACTCCTATCACCTAAAAACAAGCGGCTCCAGTGGGCACGCAATCACCAACACTGGACAATTGAGGAGTGAAAAAACATAGCCTAGTCCGACGAATCACGGTTCCTGTTGCGTCATGCTGATGACAGAGTCAGGATTTGGCGTAAGCAGCATGAGTCCATTGCCCCATCCTGCCTGGTGTCAACGATACAGGCTGATGGCGGTGGTATAATGGTGTGGGGAATGTTTTCCTGGCACACATTAGATCCCTTGATACCAATTGAGAAACGTTTCCATTCCCTCAAAGAACTCAGGCTGTTCTGGAGGCAAAGGTTGGTCCGACCCGGTACTAGATGGTTGTACCTAATAAATTGGCCACTGAGTGTACAGTATATTCTGTCTGTCTATATTCCTGGATTAACCTAAATGATAACATTGTACAGTATTTTTTCTGTATATTTAATACAATAACCTATAGTGACTAATGCAGGGAACACAGTCAAATGTAATTGTATTTGTCACATGCTCCAAATACAACAGGTGTAGACTTTACCGTGAAATGCTTACTTAGGAGCCCTTTACCAACAATGCAGAGTAAATAAATATACGGCAAATGTGCAAAAAAGGAAATGGTAACACAATAACAATAACAAGACTATATACAAGGAGTACCGGTATGAGTCAATGCCAATGGGTATGAGGTAGTTGAGGTGTAATTGAGGTAATATGTACATGTAAGTTGGAGTAAAAGTGACTAGGCAATCGGGATAGATATTAAAACAGTAGCAGCATTGTGTGTGAAAGTGTGAATGTGTGTGGTGTTAATTTGTGTGTGTGTGTTGGAATGTCAGTGTAGTGTGTGTGCATAGAGCAGGTGCAAGAGAGTCAGTGCAAATAAAAAGGGGGTCAATGCAAATAGTCAGGGTAGCAATTTGATTAACTGTTCAGCAGTCTTATGGCTTGGGGGTAGAAGCTGTTCAGGAGCCTTTGGGTCACAGACTTGGTGCTCCGGCACCGCATGCTGTGCGAATCGAGGAGTATGACCTTTCAACATTCTGTATCCTCTCCTTTTCCACAGCCATCAGTATCGTAGTAGACTCTGTTTTAGTGGTTCTTGCAACTTTTTATTTGCCACCTGTTCCCAGGTCAGATTAATAACCTACCTCCTCTCTATCTCAGTGGAGTTATCCCCGCTCTTCCCAAACCAACTGATCCTGGGCCTGGAGATCCGTGTCAAAGTGTCTGATTATGTCCAGGACCGTATCCGCTCCCTGCGTGCAGCAGAGACGGGCAGCTACCAGAACATCGCCTGCTTACGGAGCAACGCCATGAAGTACCTGCCCAACTTCTTCTCCAAGGGACAGGTACTTAACTGTTCCCGCCCCTTTTCTGTCTTCCTTTTTCCCCCTTTCTTTTTTCTGTGTAGTGTACTGTGACATTTGTTTGTAAAATACACTTTAAATAAATGATGATGAATGAGGTAGCCAGAGACCATCTGGGGTTGTCAGCCACATAACACTTCTGCCTTGCCCTTGTATCTATTGTGTTTATATTTATTTGTAGACATGTCTGTCAAACACCTCACCTCTAAATAGTACAGTACTTAATCCATTCAGCAAGTTTTCAAAATGTTTTGATGCCTGGCAATGATGCTCAAATTCAAATGGTGTTTGCTACACTTTTGCACAGCTTTCTGACCATTGGGCATTGAGGGTATGTGAAGCTATCCACCGTAGTAATTATTAAATAAAGTGTCCTTCCTATCAACCACAATATAAATATTTCTGTGTATCACAAAATAGTGGATACACAACATGTTCATAACCAATCAGTGAGTAAAATAAACCCACACACATCACAACTGCTGCTACCAGCACTTGTTACGATTGCTAAATACTGCACAATTTAAACACTTGCCCCCCCAATCCCCCCCTCCCCAAAATACGTGCAAATATTGGACTATGAATTGTGCCTCCCTGTATTATACTTATGCTAAAAAAGTTATTCTATTCTACTGAGCCATTTACTTTATTTTTGTATCCTTATCTTTTATTATGTATTATTGTTGTTGCCTTGTCGAGAAGGAACCTGCAAGTAAGCATTTAGTTGGATGGTGTATACCATGTGTGTCCCGTATGCACAACTAATAAAACTTGAAATGCACAGTATCTGTATTAGGTAGTTTACAGCCCTCTAGTGGCAACAATAGGAAGTGTTTGATCAGCAGCACCAGGTATCAATATGACCAGTACAGCAACTTAGTTCTTATCTCTATACCGTAGAGTAACAATGGCTAATGATTTCCAAACCTTATGTCACAACCCAGAGATTTTAGCCTCTAATGAATTTCTCAACAAAGGTGACACCGTGCCAGTGACCACATGCCAGGCGTCACATCAGCTGAACATAAGACTATACACTAATCAGTATTTTACAGCCTAATAGTGGAGGGTTTCGCCTTAGAATTCAACCCAATTAATCAGAATGACTGATAAAACAAGCTAGCTTAGCCTACATAGTGGAACCTCCAGTACCAGGACTGAGTAACCTAAATCAAACTTTATGTAAAGCACATTTAAAATTGCAACACACATTAAAGTGAACAAATCGAATGGAAAAGGAAGTAAAAGCAAATAAGAAATGATAAAATGTCACATTTTCCTTCAACTTCTTGTATTGGAGTATAGCTCCTTGGCTGGGTTTGAATAGACACATTGACATGATGAGCTCTGACGCTCGTCGGATGTGGCAGGGCTTGAAAACTATTACAGACTACAAAGGGAAGCACAGCTGCGAGCTGCCCAGTGACACAAGCATACCAGACGAGCTAAACCACTTCTATGCTCGCTTCGAGGCAAGCAACACTGAAGCAGGTCAACATTCACAAGGCCGCAGGGCCAGACGGATTACCAGGACATGTACTCCGAGCATGTGCTGACCAACTGGCAAGTGTCTTCACTGACATTTTCAACATGTCCCTGACTGAGTCAGTAATACCAACATGTTTGAAGCAGACCACCATAGTCCCCGTGCCCAAGGACACTAAGATAACCTGCCTAAATGACTACCGACCCGTAGCACTGACGTCTGTAGCCATGAAGTGCTTTGAAAGGCTGGTCATGGCTCACACCAACACCATTATCCCAGAAACCCTAGACCCACTCCAATTTGCATACCGCCCCAACAGATCCACAGATGATGCAATCTCTATTGCACTCCACACTGCCCTTTCCCACCTGGACAAGAGGAACACCTACATGAGAATGCTATTCATTGACTACAGCTCAGCATTCAACACCATACTGCCCTCAAAGCTCATCACTAAGCTAAGGATCCTGGGACTAAACACCTCCCTCTGCAATTGTATCCTGGACTTCCTGACAGGCCGCACCCAGGTGGTAAGGGTAGGTAACAACACACCTGCAACGCTGATCCTCAACACAGGGGGCCCCTCAGGGGTGCGTGCTCAGTCCCCACCTGTACTCCCTGTTCACCCATGACTGCATGGCCAGGCACGACTCCAACACCATCATTAAGTTTGCCAACGACACAACAGTGGTAGGCCTGATCACCGACAACGATGAGACAGCCTATAGGGAGGAGGTCAGAGACCTGGCGGTATGGTGCCAGGATAACAACCTCTCCCTCAACGTGACCAAGACAAAGGAGATGATTGTGGACTACAGGTAAAAAAAGAGGACTGAGCACGCCCCCATTCTCATTGACGGGGCTGTAGTGGAACAGGTTGAGAGCTTCAAGTTCCTTGGTGTCCACATCACCAACAAACTATCATGGTCCAAACACACCAAGACAGTCGTGAAGAGGGCACGACAAAGCCTATTCCCCCTCAGGAGACTGAAAAGATTTGGCATGGGTCCTCAGATCCTCAAAAAGTTCTACAGCTGCACCATCGAGAGCATCCTGACTGGTTGCATCACCGCCTGGTATGGCAACTGCTCGGCCTCCGACCGCAAGGCACTTCAGAGGGTAGTGCGTACGGCCCAGTACATCACTGGGGCCAAGCTTCCTGCCATCCAGGACCTCTATACCAGGCGGTGTCAGAGGAAGGCCCTCAAAATTGTGAAAGACTCCAGCCACCCTAGTCATAGACTGTTCTCTCTGCTACCGCAAGGCAAACGGTGCCGGAGCGCCAAGTCTAGGTCCAAAAGGCTTCTCAACAGCTTCTACCCCAAGCCATAAGACTCCTGAACACTAATCATGGCTACCCGGACTATTTGCACTGCCCCCCCACCCCCACTCCACATTTCTACGCTGCTGCTACTCTGTTAATTATTTATGCATAGTCATTTTAACTCTACCCACATGTACATATTACCTCAACTAGCACATTGACTCTGCACTGGTACCCCCCTGTATATAGCCTCCCTACTGTTATTTTATTTTACTTCTGCTCTTTTTTTCTCAACACTGTTTTATTTTACTTTTTGATTAAAAAATAAATGCATTGTTGGTTAAGGGCTGTAAGTAAGCATTTCATGGTAATGTCTACACATGTTGTATTCGGCGCAGATGGCAAATAAAATTTGATTTGATTAAGCAGACAGTACATCAGGTAGGAGACAGTGAATTTCACTCAAGACATGTTATAGTATATTACTGTCCTAGGAGAGGGGGTAACACCTGGGGCTGACAACTGAAAGGAACGCAAAAAGTGTGTAGATTCTATCTATGGAAGAAATACCCCAGAGCACTATTTTTACCGGCTTGGCTGTAATGACGTCATTGAGACCTGCCCATTTTGTGTCGAGGATTAAGTGCTTTGGAAAAACACAGACCGACCGACACACACACACACACACACACACACTCTCTCTGTCATATGCACAGACATAAACGGGAGCCCCTGGGCGATATTTGCGCACCCACATGCATGATGTACGTGTGGGTAGAAACGGCGCTATACTCCCCAATATGTCTTCTCTCTTTGTTTCCCCTCAACGTTCTTTTTTAACACTGTGCCAGAGCACTAATTAAAGTGTGTCGTTTTTTCCATTTTGTGAAGAGTGGGGCCCAGTCCCAACCACCCTGGAGCGACGGCAGTCCTCTGTGATTATCCCCCCGTTTTTCTGTTTTTACATGACATTATTTATTTAAAAAAGAGTCAACTGGAACAGTTTTTAATATCGCAGTCAGACTAATAGTAGTAAGTTGTGTACATCTTGTCAAAGGGAGGGGGACTTTATCTTAATAAAAATCACTTAAAGAGGGAATTTCCACCTTTACAATGCGGGCTGCCTGACAACTGACACCAAAATATTATGAGAACTACAGAGAGCTGACTATAATAACTTGATAGACTGGTTTGAATAATAACCACATTGATACACTGGTTTGATATAAGAGAATATTTAGCAGCATAGTTCTCTTGTTTTCACAAATGGTAAAAGTAGTACCAGAGGAAGTAGGAGCTGGAGGACTGTGTTTCTTCACTGAGGTCAGTTGAACTTGAGATGCCTGGCCTCTGTCTGTCTGGTCTTATTTGCATTGTGACCGTTTTGTTGATTTCTCTCCTCAGCTCAGTAAGATGTTCTTCCTGTTTCCTGACCCGCACTTCAAGAAGACCAAGCACAAGTGGAGGATCATCAGTCCCACTCTGTTGGCCGAGTATGCCTACACACTGAGAGTAGGGGTAAGGACAGAGCATAGGACGCCTACATTTACGTTTTAGTAATTTAGCAGACGCTCTTATCCAGAGCGACATACATTTGGTTAGTGCATTCAAGTGGGACAACCACATATACACAGGCATAGTAAGTACACTTTTCCTCAATAAAGTAGTTGAGGTGAGGAGGGGGATTATTTAAGATACTCTTTGAAGAGGTAGGGTTTCAGGTGCTTTCAGATGATGGGCAGGGACTCTGCTATCCTAGCTTCAGTGGGAAGCTGGTTCCACCATTGGGGTGCCAGGATAGAGAAGAGCTTGGACTGGGCTGAGCGGGAGTTCTTTCCCCTAGGGGTGGGAGGTCCGAGAGACCAGAGGTGGCAGAATGGAGTTCTCGGATTGGGGTGTAGTGTTTGAGCATAGCCTGAAGGTAGGGAGGGGCAGTTCCTCTTGCTGCTCCGTAGGCATGCACCATGGTCTTGTAGTGGATGCGAGCTTCGACTGGAAGCCAATGGAGTGTGCGGAGGAGCGGGGTGACATGGAATAACTTGGGAAGGTTGAAAACCAGGCGGGCTGCAGCGTTCTGGATAAGTTGCAGGGGTTTGATGGCACAAGCGGGGAGCCCAGCCAACAGCGAGTTGCAGTAGTCCAGATAGGAGAAGACAAGTGCCTGGATTAGGACCTGCGCCGCTTCCTGTGTGAGTTAGGGTCATACTCTACGGATGTTGTAGAGCATGAACCTGCAGGAGCGGGTCACTGCTTTGATGTTTGCAGAGAACGACAGGCTGTTGTCCAGTGTCACGCCAAGGTTCTTTGCACTCTGGGAGGGCGACACTGTGGAGTTGTCAACCGTGATGGAGAGGTCTTTGATTGGGCAGGCCTTCCCCGGGAGGAAGAGCAGCTCCGTCTTGTCGAGGTTGAGCTTGAGTTGGTGGGCCGACATCCAGGCTGAGATAGGCCTAGAACCGAGCCCTGGGGCACACCAGTAGTGAGAGTATGTGGTGCAGACACATATCCTCTCCACATCACCTGGAAGGAACAGCCTGCCAGGTAGGATGCAATCCAAGAGTGTGCAGAGCCTGAGATGATGGTTCACAGTGTCGAAGGCAGCGGATGGATTTAGGAGGATGAGAACAGAGTCAGCTTTGGTAGTGCGGAGAGCCTCTGTGACACAGAGAAGAGCAGTCTCGGTTGGAGAAAGAAGTCAAGGCATAGCCTACACACTGAGAGTAGGGTTAAGGACAGAGCACAGCGTATGGGGGGGGTTCATCAGGGGCACCCAAAGTCAACAGTTGAGTTAGGGATGTGGTTGAGCAATGGGAAGGGTCTTCAGTTACTTTTTCCAACAGCAAGACATATGATACATATGAGAGGACAGTACTAGCTACAGTGGGGGAAAAAAAGTATTTAGTCAGCCACCAATTGTGCAATTTCTCCCACTTAAAAAGATGAGAGAGGCCTGTAATTTTCATCATAGGTACATGTCAACTATGACAGACAAAATGAGAATTTTTTTCCAGAAAATCACATTGTAGGATTTTTTATGAATTTATTTGCAAATTATGGTGGAAAATAAGTATTTGGTCAATAACAAAAGTTTCTCAATACTTTGTTATATACCCTTTGTTGGCAATGACACAGGTCAAACGTTTTCTGTAAGTCTTCACAAGGTTTTCACACACTGTTGCTGGTATTTTGGCCCATTCCTCCATGCAGATCTCCTCTAGAGCAGTGATGTTTTGGGGCTGTCGCTGGGCAACACGGACTTTCAACTCCCTCCAAAGATTTTCTATGGGGTTGAGATCTGGAGACTGGCTAGGCCACTCCAGGACCTTGAAATGCTTCTTACGAAGCCACTCCTTCGTTGCCCGGGCGGTGTGTTTGGGATCATTGTCATGCTGAAAGACCCAGCCACGTTTCATCTTCAATGCCCTTGCTGATGGAAGGAGGTTTTCACTCAAAATCTCACGATACATGGCCCCATTCATTCTTTCCTTTACACGGATCAGTCGTCCTGGTCCCTTTGCAGAAAAACAGCCCCAAAGCATGATGTTTCCACCCCCATGCTTCACAGTAGGTATGGTGTTCTTTGGATGCAACTCAGCATTCTTTGTCCTCCAAACACGATGAGTTTTTACCAAAAATTTCTATTTTGGTTTCATCTGACCATATGACATTCTCCCAATCCTCTTCTGGATCATCCAAATGCACTCTAGCAAACTTCAGACGGGCCTGGACATGTACTGGCTTAAGCAGGGGGACACGTCTGGCACTGCAGGATTTGAGTCCCTGGCGGCGTAGTGTGTTACTGATGGTAGGCTTTGTTACTTTGGTCCCAGCTCTCTGCAGGTCATTCACTAGGTCCCCCCGTGCGGTTCTGGGATTTTTGCTCACCGTTCTTGTGATCATTTTGACCCCACGGGGTGAGATCTTGCGTGGAGCCCCAGATCGAGGGAGATTATCAGTGGTCTTGTATGTCATCCATTTCCTAATAATTGCTCCCACAGTTGTATGTCATCCATTTCCTAATAATTGCTCCCACAGTTGATTTCTTCAAACCAAGCTGCTTACCTATTGCAGATTCAGTCTTCCCAGCCTGGTGCAGGTCTACAATTTTGTTTCTGGTGTCCTTTGACAGCTCTTTGGTCTTGGCCATAGTGGAGTTTGGAGTGTGACTGTTTGAGGTTGTGGACAGGTGTCTTTTATACTGATAACAAGTTCAAACAGGTGCCATTAATACAGGTAACGAGTGGAGGACAGAGGAGCCTCTTAAAGAAGAAGTTAAAGGTCTGTGAGAGCCAGAAATATTGCTTGTTTGTAGGTGACCAAATACTTATTTTCCACCATAATTTGCAAATAAATTCATTCAATGTGATTTTCTGGATTTTTTTTTCTCAATTTGTCTGTCATAGTTGACGTGTACCTATGATGATAATTACAGGCCTCTCTCATCTTTTTAAGTGGGAGAACCTGCACAATTGGTGGCTGACTAAATACTTTTTTCCCCCACTGTACATTGCATAAATGGCCTGGAATTGACCTCACCCTCACTTGCTTTCTATCCTCCTCATCTGTCTGTTATCTGCCTCACCGTTTCATACATGTCAGATTTGTGTGGGGCTCTTGGTGTCAGTTCACTGTGGCAGCGAGGAGAGACTGAGGATTGGGAGAACAATGGGAGGCTTATGTTTGTGCATGTGGGATTTTAATGTGCTCACGTGCGTCCGTCTGTAGGCTTTACCGTTACACTCAGCAGCACTGACACGGGGCCCAAGCCAGACACTGATCTCCTCTGGGGGGTGGAGGTGGAGAGCTGTCTAGAGAATTTTTCTCTGGCAATTTAGACTACAACATCGATCCGCCCAGAACACACCTCCATCACACACACCCTCCCCCCACCTCCACGGCTCCCCACCTCCTGGCCTCAACGTGAACGCTACATCACTGAGCTAACAACCGGGCGCTGTGCAAATCTATGCCATTACTGAGTTTTCCAAGAAAGCCCTGTTCTAATTATACTATCTGTCTGCGCTCCAATGTAAACTACAATGACACAGGTTATAAACCTCTGTTGGCTTTGGGTTATTTCTGTCCTTTTGAGGAAAAAAAGAAACCTTTGCTCTTCAAAGTATTTAAGGCCACCACACCAAGGCATGTTTCAAAGAAAATGTTATTGGTTAAATGCTTACTTTCGAGCCCGTTCCCAAAAATGCAGAGTTAAAAAGTAAGACAAATATTTGCTGAATAAAAAAGGAAATAGTAGCACAGTAAAATAACAATAATGAGGCTATATACACGGAGTACCAGTACAGAGTCAATGTGCAGGGGTACTATGTAGTTGAGGTAATAAAGTATGTACTGCACATGTAGGTAGGGGTGAAAGTGGCAATCAGGATACAGTTGAAGTCGGAAGTTTACATACACTTAGGTTGGAGTCATTAAAACTTGTTTTTCAACCACTCCACAAATGTCTTGTTAACAAACTATAGTTTTGATAAGTCGGTTAGGACATCTACTTTGTGCATGACACAAGTAATTTCTACAACAACTGTTTACAGACAGATCATTTCACTTATAATTCACTGTATCGCAATTCCAGTGGGTCAGAAGTTTACATACACTAAGTTGACTGTGCCTTTTAAACAGCTTGGAAAATTCCAGAAAATGATGTCATGTCTTTAGAAGCTTCTGATAGGCTAATTTACATCATTTGAGTCAATTGGAAATGTACCTGTGGATGTATTTCAAGGCCTACCTTCAAACTCAGTGCCTCTTTGCTTGACACCATGGGAAAATCAAAAGAAATCAGCCAAGACCTCAGAAAAAAAACTGAAGACCTCCACAAGTATGGTTCATCCTTGGGAGCAATTTCCAAATGCCTGAAGGTACCACGTTCATCTGTACAAACAATAGTATGCAAGTGTAAACACATGGGACCTCGCAGCCGTCATACCTCTCAGGAAGGAGACGCGTTCCGTCTCCTAGAGATGAACATGCTTTTGTGCGAAAAGTGCAAATCAATTCCAGAACAACAGCAAAGGACCTTGTGAAGATGCTGGAGGAAACGGGTACAAAAGTATCTATATCCACAGTAAAACGAGTCCTATATCAACATAACCTGAAGGCCGCTCAGCAAGGAAGAAGCCACTGCTCCAAAACCGCCATAAAAAAGCCAGACTACGGTTTGCAACTGGACATGGGGACAAAGATCGTACTTTTTGGAGACATTTCCTCTGGTCTGATGAAACAAATAGAACTGTTTGGCCATAATGACCATTGTTATGTTTGGAGGAAAAAGGGGGATCTTGCAAGCCGAAGAACACCATCCCAACCGTGAAGCACGGGGGTGACAGCATCATGCTGTGGGGGTGCTTTGCTGCAGGAGGGACTGGTGCAATTCACAAAGTAGATGGCATCATGAGGAAGGAAAATGATGTGCATATATTGAAGCAACATCTCAAGACATCAGTCAGGAAGTTAAAGCTTGGTCGCAAATGGGTCTTCAAAATGGACAATGACCCCAAGCATACTTCCGAAACGTTTGACCCAAGTTAAACAATTTAAAGGCAATGCTACCAAATACTAATTGAGTGTATGTAAACTTCTGACCCACTGGGAATGTGATGACAGAAATAAAAGCTGAAATAAATCATTCCCTCTACTATTATTCTGACATTTCACATTCTTAAAATAAAGTGGTGATCCTAACTGACCTAATACAGGGAATTGTTACTAGGATTAAATGTCAGGAATTGTGAAAAACTGAGTTTAAATGTATTTGGCTAAGGTGTATGTAAACTTCCGACTTGAACTGTATATAATAAACAGAGTAGCAGCAGCGTAAGTGAAAATGTGTCTGTGTGTGTGGCGTTAATGTGTGTGTGTTTGGCGTGTCAGTGTAGTATGTGTGAGTTCATGGGTAGAGTGAAGTGAGTGTGCATAGAGCCAGTGCAAAAACAAAAAAATTACAATAAATAATAAAGGGGGTCAATGTAAATAGTCCGGGTAGCCATTTTATTAACTGTTCAGCAGTCTTATGGTTTGGGGGTAGAAGCTGTTCAGGAGCCTTTTGGTCCCAGACTTGGCGCTCTGGTACCGCTTGCCGTGTGGTAGCAGAGAGAACTGGCTATTTGAAGAATTTCAAATATAAAATATATTTGGATTTGTTTAACACTTTTTTGGTTACTACATGATTCCATATGTGTTATTTCATAGTTTTGATGTCTTCAGTATTATTCTACAATGTAGAAAATAGTAAAAATAAAGAAAAACCCTTGAATGTGTAGGTGTTCTAAAACTTTTGACTGGTAGTGTAGGCCGTTATATTTTCTAAATACTTTATATCTGGTTTTAGTCTAAGTTTACACTGAAAACGTTTTACCATCAATTTAAAAAATACATAATTATTTTATTTCTTATTTTATTTATTTATTGTACTTAGGCGGCCTGAAAAAACACACATGGCGGCCCGCCCATGATTTTTCTATGCAGAAAAAACACTGACCTTATAATATGGTGCTTGTCGTTCCCATTCATTTGGAATTGAGTAACAGATTGTGGGACGTGGACTCATCTCAACATTAGTTTGTCGAGGGCCGGCAAACCGTGCCAATATATCCTCCAAACACCGGCTTCGAGGGCATTATCACTTTTATACAACGGGTTACCAACATATTCAAATATTGATTGACATATTTTCATTAACTTTTTCATCCTTCCACAAGATATAGTCCCGACACAAATCTAGGGTTGCTTCCCAAGCCGGCTGGTCGTTCGTTCTATCGGTTTGGTTGCTAGAGACGTGACCCAGTATTTCTGTATCTATGGACCTGACCCAGTCGACGTTCTAAATGTTCCATTGCCATACTGGCTGGCAACGTTATTATCCCTTGCTTGCTAGTTAGCGAACTACGGCTAACTTACAGTCATGTCAAAAAGTGCAGCCAGAATAACAGCAAAGTAGCTGCATTTGTTTAAGCTGTTTTCTATGTGGATACATCCATATCAATGAGCTATGAAGTTCGATTTCGCCTGGAATAGAACATTTGCTCACTCGTCAGGGCACTGTTGTTCAGAAGAGCTAGCCAACAACACAGCTAACACAATCACTTCAAACTGAAGCTCGAAAGACTGCAAACTAGCTGCACTTTAGTTTTACCTTTTTTCAATTTACGTGTCTTTGTATATATCCATAAAAATTATGCCAGCTGATTCATGATTTCGACTGGCTGAGAAACGCTGCCTGCCCGTCTGTCTCGTCCCGACTCCCGACAGGTTCATTACTATAGGACAGCTGGAGATCGAATTTGAATATCGAAACAATGTTGCAAATGTCGGAGAGACAGACAGCAAGGTTTATACAAATCTGAGCTGTTGAAAACTAAATGTTAGTCTAAAAGAAATGTGAGATAATGTCTAGATGCGTTTTATAGTGGAGATCAAGTTTATAAATTGCTGGGCTGATGAGACAGCGGATTGTGCAGGCAGATGGAACAGAGTAAATAGGCATTTTAACGTAATCGATTTAGCCGGTGGTAACTTGTGGAATAGACACTGGCTGGAATGTGGTTTTAACCAATCAGCATTCAGGATTAGACCCACCTGTTGTATAAACTTAATTATGAGGACATTGTGTTAACTCTTGTTTTGTGTCTCCCAGGGTTTGGTGTACACCAACACAGATGTGGAGGAAGTGCATCTCTGGATGGTGAAACATTTCAGTGAGCATCTGCTGTTCACACGGGTCCCCGATGCGGAACTGGTACGATGACTGACATTTTAGACAGTCCTTCTTGACAATTAATATCAATTCTGTTTTTACTTATGTAATACTTTGTCATAATATTTGTCATAGAGAAGCCAACCTTGAACCCCATATAAGCAAGTGAGAAATTGATTGTAACAAAGAAGTGAAACTCCTTAGCCTGGAGTTAGACGAAGCAACTTTCACGCAACTTTGGTTGCTTGTCACTGAGTTGCTTCTTGATTGCTTAGTGAAACACCCCCCAGCAACTCATCTGCAACTTGTTTGCATCCAGTTGCAACCTTTCAACTTGCAACTAGTTGCGAACAACAACCAATCAAAACAAATGCTTTTGTAACATGATCCATTCGAAGGTTCGGAACTCTGACCAAGTTGTCATGTCAACAACACAGCTGTCAGTGCTACGGTAAACCCGCGATCAAGGTGGACAGGAGAGACATTAGGTAGCTATTTTGATAAAACAGTGCTGGCAATTTCATTTTGGCTAGCTAAGTTGTACAGCCAGTATTTTGTCTAAATCAGTCCTTATACAATAACCAAACGGTTGGAGAAACAAATCATTTGTGAAATCGCGGTGTAATGCAGCAGATGACATTGGGTGAGTTTAGAATTTTCATACCATATGGAGGAATTATATGACAAAAGCAGCTTCAATTTGATTGGCTGTTGCATTGCCTCATGTATCAGCAAAGTTTCTTGAAATTATGTCACTTGCGTGAAAGTTGCTTAGCATAACTCCAGCCTTATGTTCAGAACTTGATTTTTGTTAAGTATATCCAACAATCTTCCTACCTTCCAATTTAGAAAACATTGTCAACATACTTGCCAGTATCATACAGTTTTTAAGCCATCCCAAATATTATGATTAGGAAACCTGGTAAATTAGACAAATCGACAAATAGTAATTCTACTATTAAAACCCCCAAAATAGTAATGGTAATTTTGGGGTAGCGCTCTTCAGACCCTTCAAAATTGTCCCTTTGTTTGGCAGGTTGATGATGTCATCATCAGTCGCCTGGGAACCTGTACAGAGGAGGGGAAGAAGGTGCAGAGGAACGGAGGGAAGAACTACCTGGCAGTTTTCCGGAGGGTAGAAGACCAAAACTAAAACCCCGTTATTACAGACATATCAGTTGGATGTTGGATAAACTGAACTTTTTGCCTTGCTGATAGGAGCATCAGCTCTTCCCATGCAAGGACAGAAAAATGGATGACCAAAATGACGGCTAGAAAAGATTGTCTATTATATTGACAAGATAGTCAAGTGACCCCTCTAACAATGGAAATACATGTCCTCAAAGATGGAAGGCAGGCCGGAGGAGGCGAGATCAGGTGGGACCATTCTAGCCAATGAAAGGGCAGATACGTGTGTGAACAACATGCCATAGAGATAGATAGAGGACTCCTTTGTGTCTGTGACAGCATGGGCATCTCCATTTAAAGTAGTCAGTTTTCGTCTTCTTCATTGGCTGATTGCTCCCAACTAATAGGAATCCCCACCCAGTTGACTACTTTAAAATGGAAGTCCTCAATTGCAATGTCCATGCTAAAAAGGGTTATATCCATGATGAGTCCTATCTATCGCTATGGCAACAGGCACAACTCCGATATAAAGTCATTTTTTTTCCAAAGTTGCCGAAATGCCACATGCCACATCCACTTGTATCCTTTTATTCGTAACAACCTAACAATTACAAAACTTCTATTCGATCAAATAAGCCATACGTAGCAAATTAGCAATAGAAAATGTTGTTGACCAAATTCGACACTCATTGACCTCCATACAAAGATTCCTCACTTCGTGGGTTTATTTTCGTGGACAGATTTTGGGCTGAATAAAACCTCTCGCTTCGCCTCTTCTTCTCTGCTGCTAGGTTTTCTCCAGGGGTAAAACTTGGCTTGTTCGTCTTAAACTTTGGTTCTTCCCGATTTGGTGGACAGTAATATGAATGTGTGGTCATTGGTCAATGGTTTAAATGGCCAAACTGAAGCATCTACCATGACCTTTTTTGAAAATGTGCCTGAGTTGGAATTATTGGATTCACCGTAAAAAAAAAAAACGTACACAAGAAGATCAACACTTTTGCCATTATTTACACTCAAAACCTGTTGCTAATTAGACTGCTCACAAAGGCGTGCTAAATTGGAGATTAATCTGCAATGAAGCTTTGTATTGATTCATTATACTTTCATGACAGCATGAATAAATCTTTATTTTTCTCATGCCACTTTTTTCCCCCACCTTTTTAATTGTGGGATGCAATCACTTGTTCCGACCATCTGCCAAACCTTGACTGCTATTTTTGGATTTTGGTTTAGCCTCCAAGGCTTTTTGTGTTCCAACTTGACAGGGGAAGTGTTGGTTTTGGCTACGAGCCGCTAGTGTTGGAGACTTCACCGTAAATAAAAGGGGAGAGACATTGAAGTATAACAGTCATAGATGGAGTTTGAGGGAGACCAGGAGAGGATTCAGCTAAAACTTAGAGGCTTCTTCAGTTCTTATTCTTCATGTCCTATTCTTCATTTATCAGAAAAATCTGGAAACATTTGCCAAAAATGTTAATTGCAAGTATATAATGCTAAGTGCATTGACTTCTGCATATTACAATTGATGACACTGCAAATGGTATCCAAAATGTATTTGCAGACAACAAGAAGTATATTGAATGATGTGTATTGTACTGCACTTGCTGTCTGAGACCTACAAGAATCATCACATAACATATTCAGTTGGCTCTGTCCTGAGCAGGGAGAGAGGAGATTGGAGGCATCTGCTTCGAGCAGCGGTTGTGTTCCCAATGGGACCCTTTCCCTACATAATGCTCTACTTTTAACCAGTGCCTTATGGGCCCTGGTCAAAAGTAGTGCACTATATAGGGAATAGGGTGCCATTTGGGTCACAATCAGTGGGCCCGTTTAAACTTGAAGTTTTGGTCCTTTGGTCCTTTCAATCCACACTGGTATATTATTCCTGAATCGTGATCAAATGTGTTCATTCAGCACACCTTGGACCATATGGTTTGAAGCATGTCTGTAGAAAAGCCAGAAACGGGATGGTGCAGGTTTGAAATGAGCCTGTTCTACCGCTGCAGGGGGTGTTGGCTAGGAACAGGACAGCACATGCCTCAATAGTGGAACTCCACAGTCAGGAAACCAGGGATGGATACAGTCTGAAACCTCTGGTTCCCTTTCAGTCAGTACTCTTGGTACAACACAACTATGGGGAGTCTCGGATTAATTCCTTAAATTCTTCTGCTCTTCACCTCGTTGTGAGCAGGAACGATTCAAATCAAATTTTATTTGTCACATGCCCCGAATACAACAGGTGTAGACCTTACCATGAAATTCTTACTCACAAGCCCTTAACCAACAATGCACAGTTTAAAAAAAGTAAGAAACATTTGCAAAATAAACTAAAGAAAAAAATAGTAACACAATAAAATAACAATAACGAGGCTATATACAAGGGGTACTGGTACAGAGTCAATGTGCAGGGGTACAGGTTAGTCGAGGTAATTGAGGTAATATGTTCATGTAGGTAGGGGGTAAAGAGTAGCAGCAGCGTATGTGTGTTTTGGAGTGTCAGTGTAGTATGTGTGAGTATACATCGAGCCTGTGCAAGAGAGTGAGTCAGTGCAAAAAATAAGAATACAATAAGGGGGTCAATGCAAATAGTCCAGGTAGCCATTTGCTTAACTGTTCAGCAGTCTTCTGGCTTGGGGGTGGAAGCTGTTAAGGAGCCTTTTGGTCCCAGACTTGGCTCTCTGGTACTGCTTGCCTTGCGGTAGCAAAGAGAACAGTCTATAACTTGGGTGTAGAGTCTTTGACCATTTTTAGGGCCTTCCTCTGACATGCCTTGTATAGAGGTCCTGGATGGCAGGAAGCTCGTCCCCAGTAATGTACTGGGCCGTAAGCACTACCCTCCGTAGCGCCTTGCGGTTGGATGCAGAGCAGTTGCCATATCAAGCGGTGATGCAACCAGTCAGTATGCTCTCTGGTGCAGCTGTATAACATTTTGAGGATCTGAGTTCCCATGCCAAATTATTTTCAGCCTCCTGAGGGGGAATAGGCATTGTCGTTCCCCCTTCATGACTGTCTTGGTGAGTTTGGACCATGGCAGGTCCTTAGTGATGTGGACACCAAGGAATTTGAAGCTCTCCACCCGCTCCACTACAGCTCCGTTGATGTGAATGGAAGCGTGCTTGGCCCTCCTTTTCCTGTAGTCCACGATCAGCTCCTTTTGTCTTGCTCACATTAAAGGAGAGGTTGTTGTCCTGGCACCACACTGCCAGGTGGCTGTCTCATTGTCGTCTGTGATCAGGCCTACCACCGTTGGGTCGTCTGTAAACATAATGATGGTGTTGTGGGTGAACAGGGAGTACAGGAGGGGACTGTGCATTGACACCTGAGGGGCCCCCGTGTTGAGGGTCAGCGTGGCGGATGTGTTGTTGCCTACCCTCACCACCTGGGGGCAGCCCGTCAGGAAGTCCAGGATGTTTAGTCCCAGGTTCCTTAGCTTAGTGATGAGCTTGGAGGGCACTATGGTATTGAACGCTGAGCTGTAGTCAATGAACACCATTCTCACATGGGTGTTCCTTTTTTCCAGATGGGAAAGGGCAGTGTGGAGTGCAATAGAGATTGTGTCATCTGTGGATCTGTTGTGACGGTATGCGAATTGGAATGGGTCCAGGGTTTCTGGGATGATGGTGTTGATGTGAGCCATGACCAGCCTTTCAAAGCATTTCATGGATACAGATGTGAATGCTATGGGGCGGTAGTAATTTAGGCAGGTTACATTGGTGTTCTTGGGCACAGGGACTATGGTGGTCTGCTTGAAACATGTAGGTATTACAGACTGGGTCAGGGAGAGGTTGAAAATGTTAGTGAAGACACTTGCCAGCTGGTCAGCGCATGCTCTGAGTACCCGTCCTGGTAATCCGTCTGGCCCTGCGGCCTTGTGAATGCTAACCTGTTTAAAGGTCTTACTCACATCAGCTACGGAGAGCGTGATCACACACTCGTCCGGAATAGCTGGTGCTCTCATGCATGGTTCAGTGTTGCTTGCCTCGAAGCGAGCATAGAAGGCATTTAGCTTGTCTGGGCAGCTCGCGGGTGGGTTTCCCTTTGTAATAGTTTGCAAGCCCTGCCACATCCGACGAGTGTCAGAGCTGGTGTAGTAGGATTCGATCTCAGTTCTGTATTGACGCTTTGCCTGTTTGATGGTTTGTCGAAGGGCATTGCGAGATTTCTTATAAGCGGCAGCTCTAGCCTTTAGCTCAGTGTGGATGTTGCCTGTAATCCATGGCTTCTGGTTGGGATATATATGTACCGTCACTGTGGGGACGACGTTGTCGATGCACTTACAGTGCCTTGCAAAAGTATTCATCCCCCTTGGCGTTTTTCCTATTTTGTTGCATCACAACCTGTAATTTAAATTGATTTTTATTTGGATTTCATGTAATGGACATACACAAAATAGTCCAAATTGGTGAAGTGAAATGAAAAAAATAACTTGTTTCAAAAAATGCTAAAAAATAAATAACGGAAAAGTGGTGCGTGCATATGTATTCACCCCCTTTGCTATGAAGCCCTTAAATAAGATCTGGTGCATCGAATTACCTTCAGAAGTCACATAATTAGTTAAATAAAGTCCACCTGTGTGCAATCTAAGTGTCACATGATCTCAGTATATATACACCTGTTCTGAAAGGCCCCAGAGTCTGCAACACCACTAAGCAAGGTGCACCACCAAGCAAGCGGCACCATGAAGACCAATCCTTCTACCCCCCCCCCCCCCCCCCCCCCAAAAAAAAAAGTGTAAAGTGGTTTTCCCACTGGCTATAGGGTGAATGCACCAATGTGTAAGTCGCTCTGGATAAGAGCGTCTGCTAAATGACGTAAATGTGCCCTTGAGCAAGGCACTTAACCCTAATTGCTCCTGTAAGTCGCTCTGGATAAGAGCGTCTGCTAAATGACTAAAATGTAAATGACCAAGGAGCTCTCCAAACAGGTCAGGGACAAAGTTGTGGAGAAGTACAGATCAGGGTTGGGTTATAAAAAAATATCAGGAACTTTGAACATCCCACGGAGCAACATTTAAATCCATTATTAAAAAATTTAAAGAATTTGGCACCACAACAAACCTGCCAAGAGAGAGCCGCCCACCAAAACTCACGGACCAGGCAAGGAGGGCATTAATCAGAGGCAACAAAGAGACCAAAGATAACCCTGAAGGAGCTGTAAAGCTCCACAGCGGAGATTGGAGTATCTGTCCATAGGACCACTTTAAGCTGTACACTCCACAGAGCTGGGCTTTACGGAAAAGTGGCCAGAAAAAAGCCATTGCTTAAAGAAAAAAATAAGCAAACACGTTTGGTGTTCGCCAAAAGGCATGTGGGAGACTCCCCAA